TAGCAAACCTCAACAGACACAAAAAAAATTGGAATAATTCCATGCATCTTATCAAACCACCATGCATTAAAATTAGAATTCAACAACATAAATTGCAGAAACCCTACAAACTCCTGGAAATTGAATAATGCACAATTGCACCATTCCTTCGTCAAAGAAGAAATAAAAAAAGAAATTAAAGACTTCCTAGAATACAATGAGAATGAAAACATAACACACCGAAACCTATGGGACACTTTGAGAGCAGTGCTACGAGGGAGGTTCATAGCACTAAGTGCCCACATGAAGAAACTGGAGAATAGTCACACTAGAGAATTAACAGCACAGCTGAAATCTCTAGAACAAAAGGAAGCAAACTCACCCAGGAGGAGTAGATGCCAGGAAATAATCAAATTGAGGGCTGAAATCAAGAAAGTAGAAACTAGGAAAACAATACAAAGAATCAATGCAACGAAGAGTTGGTTCTTTGAGAAAATCAACAAGATAGAAAAATCTTTATCCAAACTTACCAAACAGCAGAGTATGAACATGCAAATTAACAAAACCAGAAACGAAAAGGGGGACATAACAACAGACTCTGAGGAAATCCAGAGAATCATTAGATCATAGTTTGAAAACCTGTACTCCACAAAATTTGAAAATTTAAAGGAAATGGACAATTTTCTGGATAGATATCACTTGCCAAAATTAAATCAAGAACAGATAAGCAATTTAAATAGACCTATAACCCCTATGGAAATAGAAGCAGTCATCAAAATCTCCCAATCAAAAAAAGCCCATGGCCAGATGGTCTCAGTGCAGAACTCTACCAGAAATTCAAAGAACAGCGTATACCAATTCTGCTCAAAGTATTCCACACAATAGAAGCAGAAGGGTCTTTGCCAAACTCTTTTTACGAGGCCTCAATAACTTTGATACCCAAGCCACACAAAGACACAACTAAGAAAGAGAACTTCAGATCAATATCCCTCATAAACATTGATGCAAAAATATTCAATAAAATACTGGCAAATCAGATCCAAGAACACATCAAAACAATCATTCACCACGATCAAGTAGGTTTCATCCCAGGGATGCAGGGATGGCTCAACATATGAAAATACATCAATGTAACCCACCATATAAACAAGCTGAGAAACAAAAATCACATGATCATCTCACTAGATGCTGAAAAAGCCTTTGACAAAATCCAACACCCCTTCATGATAAAGGTGTTGGAGAGATCTGGGATAACAGGAACATACCTAAACATAATACAAGCTATATACAGCAAACCAAAGCCAATATCTAACAAAATGGACAGAAACTTGACACGATTCCATGAAAATCAGGAATAAGACAAGGCTGTCGACTCTCTCCATACCTTTTCAATATTGTACTTGAAGTTCTACCTATAGCAATATGACAACAAAAGGAGATCAAGGGGATAAGCATTGGAAAGGAAGAGGTCAAACTTTCACTATTTGAAGATGATATGATAGTTTACTTAAATGATCCAAAAAACTCTACCAGGGAACTCCTACAGCTGATAAATACTTTCAGCAAAGTGGCAGGATACAAGATCAACTCACGAAAATCAGTAACCCTACTATATACAGATGATAAAAGGGCTGAGAAAAAAAATCAGAAACATCACCCTTTACAATTGCCACAAACAACATAAAATACCTAGGGGTAATGCTAACCAAACAAGTGAAAGACCTGTATCACAAGAACTTTGAGTCTTTAAAGAAAGAAATTAAAGAAGACATCAGAAAATGGAAAGATCTCCCATGCTCTTGGATATGTAGGATCAATATAGTAAAAATGGAAATCCTGCCAAAAGCCATCTACAGATTCAATGCAACCCCCATTAAAATCCCAGAGCAATTCTTCACAGACCTTGAAAGATCAATAATCAACTTTTATGGAAAAACAAAAGACCCAGGATAGCCAAAACAACCTTATTCAACAAAGCAACATCTGGAGGCATCACCATCCCTGACTTCTAGCTCTATTATAGAGCTGTAGTCCTGAAAACAGCTTGGTATTGGCACAAAAATAGACAGGTAGACCAATGGAATGGTATTGAATACGCTGATATTAACTCATACATATAAGAACATCTGATTTTTGACAAAGAAGCTAAAAATATACAATGGAAAAAAAGCATCTTCAACAAATAGAGCTGGCATAACTGGATGCTGGCATGTAGAAGAATGCAGATAGATCCATGTCTATCGCCATGCACAAAACTTAAGTCCAAATGGATTGAAAACCTCAACATAAATCCAGCCACATTGAACCTCTTAGAAGAGAAAGTGAATGGTACCCTTGAACAAATTGGTACAGAAGACAGCTTCCTGAACATAACACCAGTAACACAGACAGTGAGATCAACAACTAATACATGGGACCTCCTGAAACTAAGACGCTTGTGTAAGGCAAAGAACACAGTCAGCAAGACAAAAAGGCAGCCCACAGAATGGGAAAAGATATTCACTAAACCCACATCTGACAGAGGGCTGATCTCCAAAATTTACAAAGAATTCAAGAAGCAAGTCTCCAAAACACCAAATGATCCAATCAAAAAGTGGGCTATAGAACTAAATAGAGAATTCTCAATAGAGGAGTCTAAAATGGCTGAGAGGCACTTGAGAAAGTGCTCAATATCCCTAGCCATCTGGGAAATGCAAATCAAAACAACTCTGAGATACCATCTTACTCCTGTCAGAATGGCTAAAATGAAAAACACTAATGAAAGTTTATGCTGGAGTGGATGTAGAGAAAGGGGTACACTCCTTCACTGCTGGTGGGAGTGCCAACTTGTACAGCCACTTTGGAAATCAGTATGGAGATACCTCAGGAAAATGGGAATCAATCTACCACAAGACCCAGCAATTCTACTCTTAGGCTTATATCCAAAAGAAGCAAATTCATACAACAAGGACATCTGCTCCACTATGTTCATAGCAGCATTATTTGTAATAGCCAGAACCTGGAAGCAACCTAGATTCCCCTCAACTGAAGAGTGGATAGAGAAAATTTGGTACATTTACACAATGGAGTACTATTCAGCAGAGAAAAAAAAAAAAACAATGGAATCCTGAAATTTTCAGGCAAATGGATGGCACTAGAAGAAACCATCCTGAGTGAGGTAACCCAGTCACAAAAAGACAAACATGGTATGTACTCACTCATATATGGATTTTAGACATAGATCAGGGGAGTGCCAGCCTACAATCCCATGACCAGAGAGTCTGGGAAACAGAACCTTTAACCAATGACTGATGGAAGCAGAGACAGACACCCACAGCTTAACACTGAGCTGAACTCAAGGAAACCAGAGACAAAGAGACCAGAGAACTGATGAGTATAGGGGTCAAGACTGGGCTGGTTTAACCCCCAGAAACAGCTGACCTGACAAGGGTTAGCTCTTGAATCCCAGACTGATGGCTGGGAATTCAGCATGGGACTGATCAAGATCCCATTAATGTGGGTGTCAGTGAGGAGGCCTAGGCAATCTATTGGGCCTTGGGTAGTAGATCAGTATTTATCCCTGGCTTCTGACTTGGGCTCCATAGCCCCAGCCTATGTGGATTCTTGGCTACTTGAGAGCCCGGTACTCAGCAGCCAAGAGTTTATTTGCACAGGCTGTGACCCCCAGCTCCGTTTGCCGCTTCTGGGCTGTTACTAAGGCGGTCTTGCGCCCATCCTGAGCTAGCCGTTCTGTGGAGGGGGTGAAGCACTTGGCGAAGCAACCGTAGCTGAGTCTGGTCGCTGAGCTCCACCCGCTGTGAAGCCAGCCACGAGTGAAGGACAAGTTCTTTTCCGCAACTCTGAAATCGGGAAAGGTCGTTCTGTGGGCTGCGAAGACTTACATGACAGGAAGATGAGGCGGAGGATGGAAAGGCTCACCAGTGCTCCCCGTAAACCGGCAGGGAACCGTTTCCTGCGAGGTTGTTAGACGGGCTTGCAATTTTAAAAGAATGAAGGAAGAGGGAAATGTGGGTTATGTTCTAAGGACTTGACCCAGTTCGGCATGTATTTTTTTATAGTTTATTTATTGTTATTTTATGTACATTGGTGTTTGGCCTGCATATATGTCTGTGTGAAGGTTGTTAGTTACCATGTGGGTGCTGGGAATTGAACCCAGGTCTTCTCAACCACTGAGCCATCTCTCCAGCCCCATGATTTACTTTTTAGATTTGATTGTAACTGTACACACACACACACACACACACACACACACACACACTGCCCAAGTCACTGAAAGTGTAAACTGAAAGAATATAATCCATGCCGGGCTGTGGTGGCGTACGCCTTTAATCCCAGTACTCAGGAGGCAGAGGCAGGAGGATCTCTGTGAGTTCGAGGCCAGGCTGGACCGATAGCCTCCAAAACGATACAGAGAAACCCTGTCTTGTAAAAAAAAAAGAAAAAAAGAAAAAAAAGAATATAATCCAACTATTTCATGAGGCTTAAAGCACATCTTTAAGGGGAAAAAAATGACTTAGTGAGGTGCTAGACACTTTTAATCCCAGCACTCGGGAGGCAGACGAAGGTGGTTCTCTATAAGTTCAAGGCCAGCCTGGTTTTCTGAGTGAGTCTCACTCAGAAAACAAAACAACAGAAAAAGTGGAATACTGCTTAGAATTTTAAGGTTTTTGTTTAAAAGGCAGTTGATTGTGCTCAAATTCTTGTCCATAAAATAGATCCAGTTTTAAAAGCTGCAAGAAGCCTAGAACACTAACAGCGAAAAGAGTGGCCAAGGTGCTTTTTATCAACCAAGCTGTTTTCTTACTCTAATCATGAATATTATGCTAATGAAAACCTTCCTTGCCAAGTTAGCTCTGGTAGACTGACAGCAGTTATAGAGACCCTACTGATAGCTAGGAGGTGTCCACGTCGGCCAGGGTGTAAGGCAACAGTCCCATGATTATTTCACCAGCAAACGCTTTAGGTGCGAATGAATATGGCTCAGACCACTGAGAAAGCGAACGAGCCGGCGCACTGCTCACCTGTGACGACCATGCGCTTTCCCACCGTCTCAGAGAGCGGCTCCCGGTGTGACAGAGACATGCTGAGGTTTGAAACTGTTTGCTGCAGTTACCGCCTGAATGTCCTCAGAGCAGTGAGTGCGCCAGAGTGCCAAGGACGGAGTCTCTGCTCTCCCTGTCTGTGACCTAGGCTGGCTGGTTGCTAAGGCTGCTTTATGACAGGAGGAGCAGATGTTCCCTGCGCCAGAGCTCCGTATTCCAAGAGCAGACACAGCTGCGGTGTGTCCAAGGGCTGGACTCCACCACTGTCCCTTGTCTGCCCACGTCCAACCAGACGAATGGCGTCCAGGAAGTCCTAGTCTCCAATGTCTTTCGGCATTTCTGAAGAACGTTCTACAGGGGCAAATTGGGGATGTTCCGGGGAGAAAGAGAAATGCTAAGCATGGTTAAACACATTTGGAAGACACCAGAGAAGACAGAGGGTGCCTGCCCTGAGACAGCTAGACTACACAGCCACACATGCGCCAGGACACTCACATGATGCTTCCCATCTCACCACTCAGTGCTTCCAAACAGAACTGATTCCCTTCCCCAGTGAGGACACCTGGAGTCAAACCTTTCTGGTCTTCCCGGCCCTCCGGGTTGCCCTTTCCTTTGACTCAGGCCTGCTCTGTACTTTTCTTTGCCACCATGCTGGTTTACTGTTGCAGAACCTTCTGTACTCCTCCGGAGGCTACCCAGTCCTGATGACTGTGATAAAAGGTACTGGATCATCACAGCACATCTCTCTGAAAATACTCTGTCCGCGAAAGAACCGTTGTCCGAGGTACCCAAGTTTAGCAATTTCTTAGCATAAGACCGGTGTCACTGCTCTAGATAGAGGCGGTGGGACCTGAGAGAATGGAGCTGATAAACGAGGAGGACTAGTCTCACGTAATAGCCAACTTTATTCAGGCTTAAGAAGCGTCACCAGGGTGAACTGTGCAATCATAATCACAAGAAACAACAAGGCAGCTGTTTTATTCCATTGAGGCATATAAACAAAAAACAATAGCCAGTTGTAATGAATAATCTGATTTCTATCCACTACACCTGGGAAGAGCCCAAAAACACATTCCAAGAACAATTCCATGTTCTGAAGAAACTGGGCTCACAGGACTCTTGTCTTGATTTCTCACAGGCATTCAAAATTCTCCTTACAGGACTCCTCCATTCTTGGACCGCATTCCGACAGACTGGGACTTAAACCCCATGTGCGGTGCCACACATCTGTAATCACAACATTCAGGAAGTGGATGCAGGGGGATGAGTAGTCAGTCCATGGTCATCTTTGGCTACATAGTAAGTCCAAGGCTCGCTTAAGATACACAGCACCCTGTCTCAAACAAAAAACTAGGATTGGAGGGTGGACTACAGGAACCAGCCCCTTGGGTGTCTCCTTGTATTTTGTTGCTGTATTATCCAGGTTGGTCTTGAACTCCTGGACTCAAGGGATCTTTCTGTCTTAACCTCCCAAGTCACTAGGACTACAGATGCACTACTACTACGCATGACTCATTTGCAGTTTTAATAACATTGCAAAGTGAAAAGGATGGAGAAACCTAAATTAAGAAAAGTGATTATGGACCTGGTGTGATGGCTTGGAGGTAAAAAAAAAAAAAGCACTAACTGCTCTTATAGAGGACCCAGGTTCAATTCCTAGCATCCATATGGCCACTCACAAGTGTCTATCACTCCAGTTCCAAGGGTATCTGATGCCCTCTCTGGCCTCTTGGGCACAAGGCAAATATATAGCACACAGACTTACATGCAGACCAGACACTCATACATATACAATAATTGAATTTTTTGAAGTAATTTCAATAACGTAAACAGAAAACAAATAAAAATAAAAAGATCGTGGCTTTTGTTTGAGAAACTTCCAGTAAACCATTATGGGGAAGGAAGCTTCCACACCGACTCGAAGACTTGCAAAGTTTCCGAGATTTAGGGTTAGCAACCAGAACGCTGAAGGGGAGAAAACAGAGGCTGCAGCGAGCTTTTCTCTTTGGGATGATACACCAGGACAGCCATGTTTAGGTTCATTTGTTGCTTATCTCAGTTTTTAAGGATTTTCCTAAAAAGTTTATAGTTAAAGGGAAATATTTACATGGCTCATAAGTGAAATTCTTAAAATAAGGAATATTTTTTAAAATCCTCTACATTTATCCTTGCTAATTACATAATCTCTTCTTTTTCAGGAGCATTTCTAAACTACAACCACAAATACACACGTACGGGGATACAGAGACATATTTATGATCATATCCCTCCATCTGAAAAAACTGTGATACGCTGAACATACTTTTCATACTTTCGTAGTATATCTGTGGGTCATTCTTCTTTATACAGCATGAGGTGAAGTTAGTTCTCATTTTGTGGGTACAACCAGAATATATTCAGTGGAATGCATTTGCCATAATTCACTCCACTAGTGCATTATTAGTGATCACTCGAAGTATCCCTTTTTTGTTTTGTTTTTCTTTCACAGACAGTGCCATAATGTAGGCGCAGTTTTCTGTCCCACCAGCCCACTCCCGAATAACCACACGGAAATTTCTCATTAATTGTAAATGCTCCATCCATAGCTTAGGCTTGTAACTGACTAGCTCTTACAAGTTAAATTAACCCATAGTTCCTTTCTACACTCTTCCATGTGGTGGTACCTTTTTCACTATGGCACGCTCATCTTCTGCTTCCTCTGCATCTGGCTGGAGACCCCTTCTTCTTCCCAGCATCCTCTCTGCACCAAAATCCTGCCTAGCATGGGCCATTCAGCTTTTTATTTAAACCAATCAGAGTGACAAATCTTCACAGCATACAAAAGGAATACTCTACAGCACTATAAAATACAATTCCTGCATATGTCTGCAGCTTTTTGCCAGCATCTCTGGGCTAGACTCCTGAAGTGATATTGCTGTCTAAGAGAAAGGTAGATAGACCTTACTGGCCCTCTCCATAATGACTGTGTCATTTCGAACTCGTACCCACGGCTACTAAGAATACCTGTTTGACTATTTGGTCACAGAATATGTTGTTCCCTTTTGGTTTTGTATGTTGAGAACCAGGTCACTGTAAATCTCTATTTCTTGCCTCCAGGCACTTCCCAAAACTCAGGCACCTTCCCACAGATGGCCTGGTGAAATAGAGATAACCCATGGCTTAACAATGCTTCCTTAACACCTGCACTCCCTGGTGAGATCTCCTGCTCATCCTTATCAAACACTTCCTGCTTCTGATAGCCCCCTTCCCCATTCCTAAGAGCCTCCTGTCTAACAACCTCTGCCCCACCCAATGCTCTAAACTAAATATAAGAGCTCATGTGAAGATGTCATGGCAAAATCCAGTGCTTTGAATGCTGACCTAAAATCTTAATCTAAAGACTAAATCACTGACAAAAAAATTAATGATAAAATATTAATGTAATGAAATATTCATGCAAGAATGACTACAAAATATAACAACGGTGAGGGTGGTTACAGTAATACATTTAGTAAACTCCTAATTTTGCTCCCTGAGTCATGGGAACATGTATCCTTCCCCAGAGTAGGATGGTACATGGGGCCTACATGTAGAGAGATAGGATTTCTCTGACTAGGTGACATCAGAAGCGCCTTGAAGAATGACCACAAGCCAGGGGAAGGTGTGGTTGGGAGGTCGTTTGGGGGACAGCCTGAGCCAAAGGCTAGAGGAGAGAAATGGTCAACAGTACAGAGCACAGCCAAAGAACAAGTTCAGTGTTGCTAGAGTCGAGTCATCCTCTTTCTGTCTGTGCCTGAGGGGATTGGCTTAGGAGGGATGTTTCAGAGATTTGGTCCGTGGTTTGTAAATTCTGTGGCTTTGGGGATGACAGTGAGGCTGCCCATGACCACAAGGAGAAGTACTCAACAGCACAGAGCTGCTCACCTCATGGCAGCCGGGGAGCAGAGCAAGAAGAGGGACCAGGGCCCGAGGTTCTCTCCAAAGACACGTCTCCAGTGACCTCTCTCCCAATAGGTTCCACTTTCCCAAGATCCCAGCACTTTCCAGCAGCTCGCAGTCTTGTCAAACGTGACTTCAGCACATAGGAAACTGTCCTAACTATAGCTAAGAGCGAGCTGGGCAGTGAGGTGGGAGAGACAAGCTGGGTGTAAGCTCCACAACTGGCTGTAGTTAGGAGTACCTAGACACGGGGGGTGTTAGCGGGCCTAGGCCCTGCCCAAATGGTATGGCTGGCTTTGATGAACATGGAAGGCCTCATCCTCCCTGGGGAGCAGAAGGGGCATGGTATGGGGGTTGGTGGGGGGCATTGGACGATGGGAGGGAGAGGGAACTGGGATTGATATGTAAAATAAGATTGTTTCTAATTTAAATTTTAAAAAATTAGAGGGAAAAAAAGATGGCACTTTTAATCTCAGCATTTGGGAGGCAGAGATACGTGGGTCTCTATGAATTCTAGGCCAGCCTGGTCTTGGAGTCCCAGCACTCGCAGGCAGCTGTTGACTTTGAGGAGTACGGGTGTTTAGGCAGGGCCCCTGAACAGTTTTGACTCATTCATGAACAGGAGCTGGGAATGCTCTAGGTCTCAACAACAGGTCTGTCCTTGCCAGAAGCAAGGAATGCCTGAAGAGAGTTTATTACTTCTCTTCCCCTAAATGACCACCCCTGCCTGGAAACTAAGTGTGGGACAGGATCAAAACAGAGAGGCACCTGAACAAACCAGGGCACCCCCTGTCGCACCCCAGCTTCTATAAGTCCTATAAAAATCTCAGTGGCATCCTACTTCTGGGACCTCTGCTGTTGTACAAGAACTCTTCTTCTCAGCTCCCATCTACAATCTTGAAAAACTCCTCTCTAAACTCACTCTCCTGTTGTCCATGAAATTGTTCTTAAAACTCATGAGGCAAGGGACCTGGAGGCCACTGGCTTAGAATTGCTTTGGGAATTATGATCATCTGTGATGAGAGGGGAAAGGGGAGGAAACCAAGGTACGGAAAGGAGGAAGGGGAAGGGGAAAGGAGAAAGAAAGGGAAAGAGAAAGGGAAATGGAACAGAGGAGGGGAAATGGGGGTGGGGAGAAAGGGAAGAGTTGCTCAGTACATTTTGAACTTTGTGACTCATGTCTCAAAGGTTCTTTACTTATTATCTTTTCTGGGTAGCATTAGATCACAGACACACAACCTGATAAAAATCAGGTCACAGAAGCCCGCATTCTGTCCCTTAGAATAAAGAATTGGCAGGTGCCTGCTGTTGCTGTGACTCCAGCAGTGGGGAAAGCAAGCCCAGTCTTCCCCCACATGCTGATCAGGATTGTCTTAGTCAGTTAGGATTTCTATTGCTGTGAAGAGACGTCATGATGATGGTCACTCTTATAAGTAAAATATTTAATGGAGGTGCTCACAGTTTCAGAGGTTAGTTTGTTATCATCATGGTGGGACAGGTTAGCATGCAGGCAGACGCGGTGCTGGAGAAGTAGCTGAGAGTCCTACATCTTGCAGGCAACAGGAAATGGTCTAGGTTGACCACTGAGGGAAGCTTGAGCAAAAGAGACCTCAAAGCCCATGCCCTACAGTGACACAATTCTTCCAACAAGGTCATACTTGCTTCAACGGGCCATACCTCCTAATAGTGTCACTCCCTTTGGGGTTATGGGAATCAACTGCATTCAAACTACCACAAGGACCAAGAAAACTTTGAACAACAGTCCTGCCTGTCATATGACATATAATTTTCTGATACCGTGTAGAAATCAGAAGCTCCCTTTGTTCAGGGATTTGAAGGCTCTTTCCCTCAGGCCCTCACCATGTTGTCTCTCCTAATGGAGCTGTTCTTTGGGATCATCAAGGAAAGTTCTTTCTCCATTTGCAGTCCTATTGCTCTGTCTGTGATAGGGTGTTGTTTCTTCTAATGCTCTCCCTTCAAGATCTGATCATAGACAGCCTCATGGTCATGAATCTCATTCTAAGGGTAATTCATGTCAGCTACATTTTACCTGCACATAATTTCTAATACATGGTAGAAATAGAACCCAGGGCCTTGAACACACTCTGTAAGTGCTTTAGCATGCAGCCATACGTCTATTGCTTTACATATACTCTGGGTATTTTATTTATTTATCATTATATAGTGTTCTGTCTGCATGTCTGCCTGTAGGCCAGAAGAAGGCACCAGATCTCATTACAGATGGTTGTAAGCCACCATGTGGGTGCTGGGAATTGAACTCAGGACCTCTGGAAGAGTAGTCAGTGCTCTTAACCTCTGAGCCATCACCCCAGCCCTACTCTGGGTATTTTGAGACAATGTCACCTTGTAACCCAGTCTATCCCCAGATTCCCTATGTAGCAGACCCTGGCCTTGAAGACCAAATTTTCCTACCTCTACCTCCCAAGTGCTGGGAGTACAGGCAAACACTGAAGGGAGCAGTCCCCTGCTTTAGCAGCCATGACAGGCTAACAAGTGCTTGCCTGACCTTGCCCCTCCTGTCCTACTCACTAGGAGGTCAGATGCCCTCCTGGTGGCAAGGAACCAATCAGAAGTTAGCTGGCGGGCTGTGTTTTATGGCTCTGGGTGTGCTTTACATATAAGTGCACTACAGTGACTTACAGAGCATAGCAACAACCCTGGGAGGGCCTACAGACCATAACAACCAGTTGACCAATCAATACAGGACAGGTCGCCCAAGCCTGGAAGCGCGCCAATCCTGGGACTGCTGCATCCCTTAGACAATTCCCTTGCTGTAGCCAATATATTCCCCACCTCGTGGTTTCTTAGGATCCTTCTGCAAGCATCCGCGATGAACTGATGAAGGGCCCAAGCTAATGGTGTTAGCTTGTTAAGCAACAATAAAAGACTCTTTGCTTTTTCATCAAAATGGGTCTCGATGATTTTGGGGGTCTCAGAATTTGGGCACAACAATACCACTATGCTGGGAATTGCTTTATACATTTTATTATCAAACATTGCTATGCCTCTTACAAGCATTCCTGATTTAGAAATAATCCAGAAAACAAATTGAATAGTGATAGGCTTGGCTTGAAATCACAAGTTTTTTGTATGATACTGGCAAGGATATTTTTTTGTATGGTAGTCTGTAGAATAAATGAAATGTGTATAAATGGTGATCAATTTCTTGGACACATAGTATATACTTAATAATTTTAGCCCTGTTGTTCATCCAATTGCCCTTGCTGCTACCACTCATACTTCCCTGAAAAAATACACATGACAAATACAAACGTAAACTGTGACTGTTGTTTACATATCTTTATTTTTAGGTCTGTAAGGTAGTCATCCCCTTCCTCCTCACTTGGTTCTAATTTGGGTAAAATGGCACCATTGAGTTGACTTGCTAATCCCTCTCTGTCTCTGAAGCCCAACTTCCACATTAAAATACACTTATTAAAACCATAAAGCATTTTC